GCTTATTCTACTGAGCCAACTACCTGGCCCCCTGATTGATTTAATTTGCGGAACTGGGTATTGAACTCAGGCCCTTACACTTGCTAGGGAAGGGCTTATTCTACTGAGCCATCTCCCTGGACCCCCAGATCATAAAATTTTTTAAGAAAGCTATAGGCATATTCATATAATGCCTAGGAGACTAAGGCAAGAGGATCATGAGTTCAAGGCTAGTATAGCAAGTTCCTGTTTTAGAAAAAAAAAGAAAAAAGTTAAAAGAAAACCTCCATAGGTGATTCTTTTAGATATCCACAATTAAAATCCCTGACATTCTATTATGGACAAGAACCAGAACTGTGTTAGGGCAGGAAACCAATTCAAAGTTAGGCATTAATGGAGTCCTAATCCTAAATTCTGATTCCAACCTCAATCACTTGCTAGCTATGAGATTTTGAACATTCAATCTAGCTCTGCCTCAGTTTCCTGCTCTAGAAAAAGAGCACTTAGGATACTAAGTGCTGACACCCAAACATGTTTTTTAAGGCAGAAATGAGATAATGGAAATAAAGAAGTGCACTAACACATACAATGAGGATATAATACATGCCAAGACATGCTAGATACTTTATGTGTGATACTCACTGTATTATTTTTTTTTTTATGGTCAGCTCAGCCCACCATAGGAGCAGGGCAGGCACAGCATATGGTGCCAGGGATCAAACCTCAATCCCTGTGTACTTGCCTAAGCAGGCGCATTAGACAGCTGAGCCATCTTGCCAGCCCCTCACTTTAAATGCTTATAGGTACATTCTAGAAACAAGGTGACATTCAAAGAACAGTACAAAGTAATTTAGCCAAGTTCACACTGCTTACAAGTAGAACTATGAGATTTAAACAAAACAATAGTCTAATACATGCACACCTAACTGCAAGTCCATGTAAGTACTCAATAAAAACTCTTAAATTCAAATTTCTGGGGCCGGAGAGATGGCTTGGGGCTGGGGAAATGGCTCAGAAGAATAAGCGCTTCCTTGGCAAGCTCAAGAACCTGAGTTTAATCCTTGGTTCTGGGAAAAAAAAAAAAAAAAAAAAAAAAAAAAAATTCTGAGTTTTCAGAGATAACTCAGATAAGTGTTTAGAATAAGGACTTAAGGCCAGGCATGTAATCCCAGGCCTTTTCAGGTTGAGGCAGGAGGATTGTTGCAAGTTCGAGATCAGCCTGGGGTACAAAAAGAATAAGGACTTGAATGACTGTTTACTAAACATAGAAAGACTACTTACTAATGCATTATAGTAGGAAACAAGATTTTAAGAAAAAAAAAAAAAAAGCTAAATTTAAGTGCAGAGCAGAGCTCAGAAAGAAAAAAGTCTTATAAAGTCATATAATCGGAAATGACTGATCAGGCAAGGATAAAAAAGATTTTGGCTTAATGACAGATCAGAAAATGACTATGAGCCAGGAATCTGAAGTGAATCTGCGCTGAAGAAGTAAGTATACAGCACTAGACATTAACAAGTATATCACACAGAAGCTCAGTATTACATGTGGCCCAGGTCAGGTCCTGTTATAAAAATATGAGAGATACAAAGAAAGATTATAAAATATATTAAAAACCCAAGTTACAAAAGCATATGAAAGTGATTATTCAACTCTTATAATTCTAGGGGCCAGGGCAATGGCTCAGCAGAATAAAGTGCTTGCCTGGCAAGTGCAAGGGCCTGAGTTCAATCCCCGGTTCTGCCGAAAATAAAAAAAAAAATTTAAAAAAATAAAAATTCTAGAGGTTTATTTAGCTGTCAAAATAGAAAGGATTGTTTAAAAGATTATAAAGCTAGGCATGTTGGTACATGCATGCTTGCAATCTCAGCCCTTGGGAGGCTGAGGCAGAAGGATCACCAGTGCAGGGCTAGTCTGAAGTACCTAACAAGTTCAAAGTTGTCCTGGACTGTGCAGCAAGACCATATCTGGGGGGGGGAAAAAAGGTCTGCATTTTGAGTCATCACACATAAGAATGGGATGTGATGGCACATGCCCATAATCCTACTACTCTAGAGGCTGAAATAGGAGGAGAATCATAAACTCAAGGCCAGCCTGGATTATATAGCTAGACCTTATCTAAAACAAAGGGAGGTTCAGTTCGATCCCCCAGTATCAAAAAAAAAACAAAAAACAAAAAAAACAGAATGGGTAAGAATCAAAGGCTGGGACCAGGGAGATGGCTTAGTAGAATAAGCGCTTCCCTGGCAAGTGCAGGAGCCTGAGTTCAATTCCTGGTTCCACACACAAAAAAAAGAATCAAAGGCTACAGAACTACTTTCCAGAGCTTTCACAAAATGTTCTTTACATTAAAACAGGTATTTTCTGGGTATTTAAGTTTGTAAGAGATGAAAGTACAGAGGAATACAGCTGAGTACCATATCACTGTACACAAGACAGTCCCAGCCATTCAGAAGGCTGAAACAGCAGAATTGCCTGAGACCAGAAGTCTGAGGCCAACCTATGCAAGATCTTACCTCTAAAGAAAATAAAAGTGGCTGCAGATTGAAGCCTTAAAACTAAAAAAAATAGGGGCTGGTGAGATGGCTCAGTGGTCTAAAGCACCTACTTAGAACAAGCATAGCAAAGCACAGGGACCGCGGTTCAATCCCCCAGCACCACATGCCAGCCAGCCCCACCCCCTGGTGGGCTGAGC